AGCACAAAAATCTTTGACTATATCGTACAGATAGATATGAGAATGTGGATGTCACAAAGTCATCATCAATTAATTCCCTCTGTACTGCTAATTATATCTCGAATATTATTAGTCAGCATATGAATAACATACGAACCTTGTCCTAGTCTACCAGAGCCAGTAGCCGCATGTGTCCGTCGAGTGTTATGAGACGGAGCATTAAAGGGCACTTGCGCAATAGCATTCTGCTGTGGGACGTTGTACAGAGAGCGAGGTGCTGGAGGTGCTTGTAGATGAGTACTCGACGATGAGCCAGGAAACATCGACGGTGCATTGTATCCTGGCGGAAATGCAGTCCCTGTAATTCCAGAATCTTGGCGGATAAAAACATTAAAAAATGTTGAAGAAAATATCGAAAAAACATTGTATCACTGCTTTAAAATCAAAACTCCTTTTCCATCATACAGTCTTATTTCTACTTTCTATTTCATTTTAGATGCTGGAAAATTTGTAAAATACCACTCCGAGTCTCCTAAGGTATGCTATCGAGACATAACAATGACAATGTTCGAAACGAGGCGGTGATGTTTAAAATCTCAAAATAGTTCGAGTACTTCTATCAAGAAAGTTATTTTGAGCTGGTAAAGAAGCGAAGCGTGCGCCAAGATCGCCAACGATGCAGCACTGGTCAGAGCAACTGCACAGCTGGAAAAGCGGATACTGAAACATACATGTGGAATGAACGTACCAAAGAAGTTGGGACTTGAGCCCAATGAGCCTGCCGTTTGTGCTTGCGAGAAAAACACGAACGGGTACTGATGCTGGGGCTGTACTGACTGCACACCAAAAGAAGCTGTGCTATTGGAACTGAATGAATCACGACGAGGTGCCGTTGAAGGCGGCTGTGGTGGGCCAACTGCAAGATTTGATAGGTTGGAGGTAAGCTGATTGATCGTTGGCGGAGTTGGGTAACCCACTGAGAAATGAAAAGCGCCTGGTGGCGAGGACGAAAAAAGTGTCGAGGCTGGAGGTGTACGATTTCCTGAAAAACAAAACGTATTTGCACGCTAAGACATATCTGAAACAACAGAAAAAAGATACCAATGGCGATATACATTAAAAAGGTGCTTCTCGGGACGGCTGAAGCCTTCTGCTAATCGCTTCTCCAGAACAAATTATTACTGCACTGGCAATCCCTTCAAATTCATTGGGATAGCCAGCTGGTATGCTAGCCACCGGGCAATGCAGCACTGGTCAAAGCGACTGCAAAAGCAGCAAGCACCACAAACTTCTAGAACCAGGCTGTGATTACATCCTTTCTAGTATTTAATATTCAACTACTTATTCAGCCATCGATTTTAATTGCGAAATAATAATATTTTGTTAATATTATTCAAGGAGTAGCTATCAGCCAATTGATAAGTACAGAAGGAAATATCAAAGATCAAAGCTGGGATTACGACGTATTCGCGATTTTCCAGTGATTCCAAATAGCACTAAACATGTACCTCCAATATTTCCATTCAGCGTGAGAGTGGGTGGATCAGATACTGGTGGGAGATTTGATGTTCCGCCGTTGTTGTATACTGCCGTGAAAGAACCATAGCCGTATCCAGTTTGTGTTGTCCCGAATGGTGCTGTTCCAACATTACCCGGATAGATCAGCGAACTCTGCTGCCCTTGTAGCATGTACGGATACTGCAAAACAACAGCACAGTATTCGTAATTTATGAAATAAACTCAAAATCACCATATTTCATTTTCTTGGCAAAATGGAGGCATCGGAAAAGAAAAAATTACTGTGACATGGCACTGAGGCAACACTGTGTTGCTGAATTCACCGCAAAATCGCAATGTCGTAGAATTCACCGCAAAATAACA